ATAACTCAACTCATCTTGTACAACTTGAAAATGAAATATACGGTATTACCAAAATGCAAACCAAGGTTTACTGATTGTTGACTATAAAAATGCATACCAAGGCTTTACTCAATGATAACTATGAAGTGAAAAAAATTCGAAGAATTGAAAACGATTTGTTATAAATATACTGCAGTGAAGCATTTGTGATGCATAATTTTTTTGTATTCAATTCAAATCAGTCAGCTGGGGAATCTTTTTAGAAGATGAAACAAAGCTGTCTTCAAGTATACATATATCTTACAGATGTTCTTGGTAGTTTAATCTAAAGCAGTTTGTATTGTGATAAATTTCACCTTAGATATTTTTTTTGCTAACTATTAGCAGCTGATGAGAAAGCTTGGACTGCTAAAAAGTAATACTAGATAGCATACGATTATTGATATTTTAAATTAAAATTAAAAATTAATTTAAATGGGAATTGTATTACCTCCTGGGTGATGATATTATTGCCTGACATGCATGTCGTTGGTGGTTCTTCGCTCCAAATTACATTATGCATTGGATGATTGAAATATTGCATGGCATCACTGAAGAATTGCGTGAAAAATTTTCCTGCTGGAGTCATCGAAAAACGTACATTGGTATTTAAACTATCATATCCAGAAGTATCTTCAGATGTACTACTGGGAGAACCATTCGATGACACGGGTGACTGCTTCAGGATTGATCGATTATTCCGAGGAGGTGGTTGAGGTGGGGGCAAAGGGTAAGTACGCAGAGAGCTAGCATTTTCTGGGCCAAGATGATGGGTACAGGTGGATGCAAATGTAGAAGAACATGTTGATGGGGATGATGCTGATGATTTGGTAAGACCATTATTACTTTTACTTTTACCATTGATAAACATTTTTTGAGTTTAGATGGCTGCTCTCAGTGCTGAAAACCACTATGGAAGTTATTATTGATATACTTGTATTATTCAGCAAGTAGTAATACAGTAATGATATTGTTGCATGTTCTAACTCAAAAATTGTATCAGAAATCAAGTAAGTAAAGAACTGCGAATGCTTGCAAAAACTTTCAATCAAAACATGAGCAAAAAAATGAATTTTTGTAAGCAGCCGAAGATCAATACAGAAATTAAGTACTAAAATTTGTACTCAAAGTAAAAGTTAAAAAATTGCCTCAGTAAAACTACACTTTTCAACGCTTCGTGACATAATGTTGTGAAGTAATTTTTTGAGGAAAAATGTGAAGCATAAATCTTTGATTCATAAATTCGTTCCCTCTACTAGTAACCATTGCAAAACGTGCAGTATTTGAGAGCAGCAAAGTGAGAGTTTGTGAAGTTAAAGCAAAAGAATGATACTTTAATCACTAATGTTAGTTATTACTTTATTACTACTTGCTGAATAATACAAATATCTATTCTATTAAATACGTCTTCTAATATTCATATCAAATTGATATTCGTGAATCTCAAAGTACACGTCAAAAATGTACACGCACGCAAAATCTTTTCAGCTAATTTAAGTTAATTAGCTGAAAATTTGCCATTAGAATTATTATAAAAATATGCAAAAAATGCGTCTCCAATGCAAAATAATAGCAAGAATTTATTCGCAGTAAAAGTTTAAGAATTTTAGAAAGTGCCAAAAATATTTTTACATTATAATATGCAAAAAAACATAGCAAAACATAGTTGAGATAGCAATGAAAATTTGGAAAAACGAAAACCTTGAAAAGTGTTCGATAATCAATGTTCAATCTACAAGAGATGCTTACTTTTATGTGATTCATCACTAAGATCATTTGAACAAATATACGTGAAGTCAGAGATCTAAGAGTATTGGTAATGATTAAAATGTCAAATTTGACTTAGTTAATTTGTAATTATAATTTTAGACAGTGAAAATTATTATGCTTAAAAGAAAATGAAACTTTTGAATTAAAATATTTGGAAGAAAAAATTTGACTTCAGAAGGAGCAGACAGAAATAAAAAGTTCATGAAATGAATTTTAAAAAATCAGCTTTTACTTTGAACACACTTCAAGAATGATAACTCTCTTAAAATATCCCATCAGAGATAAGTCAGCTAACTAACTCATTAATTTCAAATAAATATCAGCTATTTTATATCACAATTATCTTAAGCAAACAATATTATTAACTAATTATATTCTTAACTTAAAATTAATTATTTTAAAAATAAACTCTTTGAATAAATTACATAAAATTAGTAAAATTTTTCTTCAAATACTAAACAAATGCTTTAAACAAAATTCAAAATTTTATCACATGCAAAGCAAAAAGAGAAATAAGAATTGCACTGAATGATTAAAACACGAATTATTTAAAAATTTTTCAAAACTTTTTATTTGGAAAGAAATGACAAAGTTTTTTGGAAAAATAGACAATTTTCTGCAACAATTTTACTTACATATTTACAAAATCATCAAAACAGAAAAAAAAAATTTTATTGATTGAAAAAATTTATTAAAATCAAAAATTTTTGTAAAAATTAAAAAAGATAAAATGATTTTGAAACAAATTCAAATATTTTCAAAAAAAAAAAAGGAATAATTAGCATTAGATTTGTTTCGTTTTTTCTGTACACACTGGGAAGATACGATTTTATTCAATCAAAAATAAACTTAACAAATAATTGAGCTGAAAAAATAAGTACCTGTCATTGCAGAAAGAATCAACATATTATTCATAGCAAAGGTTGAAAATCACTTCGAGCAAAAAAAATCATAGCTATTCTGTTAAAAAGTTTTACATAATTTGGCAATTTTTAAAAATTACTCAAAAACCGGTTATTTGGCATTAATAAATCCTGACATTTTATTCATTCATTATGGTTGCTTTTTGTATTTTTCATCAGAAATAAAATTTTGAATAGCTAGAACATTACAGATTTTATATTTCAGTCAAGCTTGGCATTTGAAAGTTGTGCAGACCTGGCAAAGTATTTTTTACTCTAAGTCTATCTCACGTAAACTAAGCAGTCGTTCACATTTCAGAGCAAAGCAATTGGAAGTTTGAAAAAAAAAGAAAAAAAATTTCTTTTCTGGAACTACACGCAACTCTTATCAATACATCAAAGTTGTATTATTATAATAATAAACAATATAAGCAATTTTAGCACTTTGTGACATAAGCTTAGAGCTTAGATTAAGCATTCAAACTTGACTTAAGTCAAGAATTTAATGAAGGATAGTTGTGTAGAATAAAAAATAAGAAAGTGCTTTAAAAATTCAATGAATAAGCGATTAGAAGAAATTTTCATTTTGAATTAATTTTTAATTGCATTTTCATTAGCAAAGTATTGTTTTTACTTACTTCATACACGAACGTCTTTCACGTTAATTTTTTACATGCATTCATTAGTGGAAGTAAGCATTTTGTGTTAGCAGCTTTATTTGCACTACTAATGTCATTTTATTTGAAGCGTCAGAAACTGTATTCAGACGTGTTTAATTATCCAAAGCAATGAAATATATTCATTTTATATTCAGATGGATAAGCAGCTGGTCAGATAAGTTCATGATCTGAAGTAAATTTTCATCATTTTACAAATTACAAAGTTTTTACATCGATTCTGACCAAAAACTTGAAAGTTTATAAGTCAAAGTATGGATGAAATATTCAAAAAAAAAAAAAAA